ATGGGAAACCCTCCTCCCTCCCTCCCCGCCCTCTGGTTCACGAGACTGAGCTGGGCCATCTTAGTGCTTGGTCTGACCCACTGACCCAGCCCCCAAACTGCAGCAGATCCCCATTTATGTCCAACTCTTTTGGTGAAGCTGAAAGCCCTTGGTGGCCAGGAGGAAGCAGGGTTAGCTCTGGGCCAGTCCCCGGCAGGGAAGCAGGACCCAAAGGGTTGCCGCCGCACCCACCCCAAAACTACAGGAGCTGCAGGTCAGGCTATGCGCAGAGGGGAAGGGAAGCCGGGAAAGCGAGGAGCAGAACATGGAGGAATGGTGGTTTTGGTTGCTACGGTCACAGCTTGAGAAGCTCCTGGCTGACGAACACTTCAGGGAGCTGTGGAGGCTGGCAGAGCTCCCGCTGGAGGTGGCGTTGCCCCATCGGCCGGAGGTGGCGGCTGCTGAGGTGGTGGCGGATCTGCAGAGGAGACACCGGACAGAGAGTTAAGGCGGTCAGCTGGGAGGAGAGATCTGGCCATCACCCCTGTTCCTTCAGGAGCCTGAGAGAAGTCCCAGCACCTGGGATGGCAGGGGGAGCACTCCAGGGCTGCAAGGCTGGACTGGATGCTTAAATTCTATGCTTAAACCAGGTGGGAGATGGGGGGGACTCTTTCTTGCTGAACTTGGTCGACAAGGACTCTGACCCCCGAAACGGTTCACCCATGTCAGGAGAGAAGCAAGGAGCAGAGACCGGTTCATCAGAACGTTCGCTCTTGGAAGGGCAGACCACAACATCTGACGGCCAGGAACGCACGGGAATTTACAATTCCCAGCAACACCCATAAAAGTGGGGTTGGTGGTTTGGGGGTTGCACATTAGGAAGCCAGGGGGACTCTCTGCCACTGGTCCGAGAGATCTGTAAGCGGCCTGCCTCAGTTAAAAGCCAGACATGGGCTCTGCTGTTGGGAGGACACAGAGAGCAATTGGGCTGCAAGCACCCTTCATGTTTTGGGCAAAGCTGGTAGTCAGACCCAAACTTATTTTTTCACTGAGGACGAGGGTCTGCCTGCCACAGTTGGCCCTTAGGCCCGCAGGGAAGGCTTCACTTCCGCCTTATTTGGGCTTCCCATCAGTTCACGAAGATCTCGCACGCTGAATCTTAAAGGAAAAGGGAAAGCAACTGAGAGAGGTGGTGCTGATAGAGTTGAAGAAGAGAAAGGTTTTAGCAGTGTTTTTCAAACTTGACCACTTTAAGATGGGTGCACTTCAACTCCCAGAATTCCCTAGCCAGCCATGTCCATCCATCTTAAAGTGGCCAAGTTTGAAAAAAAACGCTTTAAAGGATGGGATTTTTCCAGAATTTTCAGAGCCAAGGGTTAGATTTTGTGAGGTGGGGGAGAAGACACGTGAGAGACAGTTTTGACAAGGAGGAGCCTTCAGGATTTTCCTACTCAAAGTAATAACATAAAAGTTTCCTCCCATAACTGCTTATTAAGGCAGAAAAGAGGTAGAAATGGAAGAAGCTGGAAAGTCTATAAAAAGAAGTTTTTTTCCAAAATCTACAGGAGATATTCTGAAAGGACAACCAGTCGGAGGATTTCTTCTCAATCCAATCCAATCAGACAATGGGAGTTTTCCTCCTAGGGGCACTGACCATGGGGAAAAGCTGCCCGCTGAAGACCTCAGAGAAAAGAAAAGTGCAAAAAAAGAGATGGTGCCCAACAGGAAGACTTACACAAGCCGTTGGGAGACGCCAGCTGCCCCCGGGGCCCCACGATGTTTCCTGCCATTGGCGCCGCCCCGGATGGAGGGATGCTCCCGGTTGACTGGGCATTGGTGGTTCCAGCTGGCATTATCCGGCCTGCCAGGGCCTGTCCAGGCATCATGGAGCCCTGCCCTAGGATTGGACCTGTGGGAGGGAACGGCGGCAGTTAAGGCATGTTGGAGGAAGGCTCTGGTGGAGGGCTTTGGGAGAGCCACGGCCCTCGGAGGCCACCCTCAGACCCCTGGCCCACAGTTCCCATCACGTTCCCTGCTGGATGCGGCCTCTGAAGGGGGCTGCAAGACAAGCCGGAAAGAGGGAAGCCCCAGGGCACACGCCCCGGGGCTGGAAAATATCGCAACCCCAAGGTGCACCTGAGCACGATGCGCAGATCTATCCAAGCGGCTCCTGCACAGGTTGGATGGTTGGAGCCCCCGAAAGCCCAACCGCAGGCCCTTCTTCCTTTTGTCTGGAACAGTGGCTCTGCTGGGTCACCGGCTGGTTCGGACAGCCAGGAAGAGCTTTTCCAAAACACTGGAATGAGCTTTTCAGCAATCTGAAATGCTGCCCAATGCAGAGATACCGTCCACCCCCTGCATTTGCCCCACAAGCTCATTTCCGGACTGAGGCTGGTGTTGCTCGAGGGCAGGCGGATGAGATGTCTCACTGGGGCTGCACCACGAGCAGTCAGGCCAAGCAGTTCCTTGGGGGCAGGAGGCTACATTTCTACCAGAAACCTCTCCTCTCAGACAGGATGGGATGAGAAGGGATGGGACGGGAAGAGATCTACATGGGGTGCCCCAAAGAGGATCCAGAAGCTTCAATTAGTGCAAAATGTGACGGCGTGGGCAGTTATGTGTGCCCCTAGAACAGCACGTTATACCTCTACTTCGCGAGCCGCATTGGCTGCCAGTCTGCTTCCGGGTCTAATTCAAGGTAGCGGTTATGACCCTTAAACCCTGCATGGCACGGCACGGCACGGCACGGCACGGGGCCGGGTTACTTGAGGGACCGCCTCTCCCCAGTCACATCTACCTGTTCCCTCAGGACCGGCAGGAGAGGCATGTTGCGGGTCCTGTCAGCCAGGGAGTTTTGTTGAGCGGGACCTAGGAGGAAAGCCTTTTCTGCCGTGGCCCGCGCCCTGTGGAACATCATTCTGAGGTGAGATCAGCCATGACCCTACTGGCATTAAGGAAATTCCTCAACAACCCCACCGCGCTCCTTACCTGGGACTCCCACCACTTCCCCCTTAATGACCCTCACGGTCCAGGGGTTATGATGGCAACGGGGACTGCCAGGATTGCTGTCGCTAAGCGATGCAGTCACGTGATGTCGCTCTTTACGACTGCGTCACTTAGTGGCGGCAATCCCAGTCCCAATTACTGTTGTAACCTGGGGGCTACCTGTATTTGTGTTTGACTGTTTTTAACTGTTGTTTTAATTAGCTGTTTATTGTACGCTGCCCAGAGTCACGTTTGTGAGATGGGCAGCTACACAAATCTGATAAATAAATGAAGGGAAGGGAAGGGAAGGGAAGGGAAGGGAAGGGAAGGGAAGGGAAGGGCAGCCTGAATTCCCTAATGACCGGGGTTAGGAAATGGGAGGACATGGGGATTCCCAAACAGCTAACCACACAAGCTGTTGGTCACATAGAGAGGAAGGGGCTGCATGGCTTCTGAGTCTGGGAAGCAGGTTCTGCCCTTACGCAGGAAAAATCAGATGCCCAGGCAAGATAGGTGGCACCTGGCTAAGCAATAGTACTTGCAAGAAAGATGGGGAGGGGGGGTCTTGGTAGACCGCAGATTAAGGGTAAACCAGCCATGTGCTGCAGCTGCCAAAAAAGCCAATGAAACTTTGGGCTGAATCAATACAGGTGTAGTGTCGAGATCACGGGAGGTGACAGTACCGCTCTCCGCTGCACTGGCCAGACCACCCCTGGAATACTGTGTCCAGTTCTAGTCACCACGATACAAAAAGGATGCTGAGGAGCTGGAAAGAGGGCAGAGAAGAGCAACAAAGATGGGGAGGGGCTTGGAGGCTCCATCCTACGAAGCACAGTTAAAGGAACCTGGTATGCGTAGCTTAAAGAAGAGAAGGACAGCAGTCTCCTAATGCTTGAAGGGCTGTCCCAGGACGAAGGTGTGCATGTATTCTCTGTAGTGCCCTGGGATGGGACAAGAAGCCATAGGTGGAAGTTTACAGAGGGAGATCCAAACTCAAAATAAGGAGGAATTTCCTGACTGTGAGAGCTCTGAAGCAGCGGAACAGCCTGCCTCTTGAAGACATGGAGGGCTCCGTCACTGGAGGTTCTGAAGAAAAGGCTGGAGAGCCATTTGTCTGGGATGGTCTGAGGCTTCCTGCACTAGGCAGGGGTTGGACTAGGAGACCCCCAAGCTCCCTTCCCACCCTAGGATTCTATGAGCAAATCAGGACTGAAAGGCTGCCTCCTCCAGCCTCTGATCATGCTCTCCAGGAATCACGAGGGTTATGGTCCAACATACCGAGGGACGCCTGCTGCCCAGGGAGAAGCAGGCAGAACTGTGGCCCGTTGCTTCTAATTCTATTTGGGATGTCGCGGTGAGTGCACGTCTCTCGCCTCTCTCCTGATCTAAGTGCTTTCAAACTTCTGAATTATCGGAGTGTGTGGATAAGGACTTTCATTATTGGGTAAATAAAACTCTTCATTACATATTATTTTGTCTTTAATGAGCTATTGGAATGGCAACTAGACCTAAGCATTCAACAGCTGGCAACTACGCCACTATTTGCCAAGCCAGGCAAGATGGCGGAGGAGGATTCTTCATCCACTACGTTGTTAAGAGAGATCCTGGCTCAGGTACAAGTCTTGAAGCTGATCCAACAAGAACTGGCAGAGCTTAAATGTGATTTAAAAGTGATGCAAGAAAAAATGGCTCGCTATGAGGATTGCTTAAATGCCCATGAGACCATTACTCAAGCTAGTCATATTATTTTGGACAAACAAATCACTTATTTAGAGTCACAACTGCGTAGGGAAAATCTACATGTGATTGACACAGCTCAGGTCTGGATTTATCAAAGGGGACCCTTATCACCAGCAGCTCTTCTGGGTGGTGCCCGAGTCACGTGGCTTCTCCAGCCAAGGAAACCTATTACAAATCTGTTAAGTCTTCCTAAGACCATCGAAAATACATTATCCGGTAGCTAAGCAGATGAGGTGAATGGTGCACACCAAGCTAAGTTACTGACTGCCAATTCTAACACTCACTTATAGCCTGTTAGTGGGACAGTTTTATTAGTAACCCATTAGCATCAAGCACTATTTATTTTCCTCATTAAAAAAGAAAAAGTAAAAGTATTGAGAGTCATAAACATTGGCTCGTATCTAATAGATGCATCAGCAAAAATTCCACCGTAACCGACTTTCCTCCATCCAAATCCGATTGGGATTGCCTGAAGGTGTCTGTAAACCACCTCAGATCTTGGGAACTTGGAACTCCCTTCGGGGGGAAAAGAGATCACAAAAGCCAGCCCATTCATCTGGGAGCTGGTATATCCAAATTCAGCCCTGGCTGAGCAACTTGGTAAGGTCCAAGCAAGCTCCAAAGCCTTTTTGCATTTAAAATGTCTCTGCCCTTTGCTCACCCCCTCCTTCACCATAGCCTGTAGGACATCTGTGTGCCCCTAAAGTCCCACTGCTCTGCCCAAAGCACCAGGCCATTTTGTCCATCCGTCCTTTACTTTCTATGCTACTCCCTTGCAGCAGCTCTGAAAGCAAAAGTTGCAGTGGGAACCCCCACTATACGATTTCTTACGTTCTGTTTCGTGGCAAGGACTAAGATGGTGGGCTGAGAGACGTGGGGGAGAGACACAGAAGGGAGAAGAGTCTTCAAGTGATCAGGCAAGAAGGGCAGCAAACCTACCGGAAGCCAGTGCCCCCAGGATTGCAACCCAAGAAAATCTTGCCAGTGGTCCTAGCAGCACCCTGATCACAGTAACAGGGTGAAAAGTAACAGGACCCTCACCCACCTTTTTAGGAGAGTACTGGCAAGTGGTTCATGACTCACAAGTCCCCAACACATGAAATGCCCCACGATCCAATTAAGTGTGTCACAAAACGCTGCCGAGGAATTGTCCTGAAAGCGCCCTTTCTGCCAGGCACTTGCCATGCAGCCGCGTCAATGAAACCTGCTGACTGTCCCAGTGAGATTGTGCGGTTTCTCTCAACCGAGGAGCTCTCAGACTTCCTGAAGCAGAGACAGACCTTACGACCACCAAGAAGGCTACACCGTGTGCGACTTCCGCTCTCCTCTTGCTTCTGAATTCCAGTTCCTACACTCATATCCCAAGGCTGCCGAGAGCAGCCACAACCTTCCTACTGAAACCATCATTCTGCACGGTTGGTTCCAGAACCACAACTTGGGCTCCTGGATGTGAGACACGCACTCTGTCTTAGGCCGATGCCTACTTGGATTTAGCTGTGAAATTCATCCTCAGGCTGCTCGGCCCTCTGGCACTCAAAAGCCAAGCTCTAACACAAACTGCTGCAAAGGGGACTGGACACTGTCAACCAAGCCTGGGTAAACGTCCTCAGAAAGCGTTTTCAGCTGCAAACTCTACCCACGCAGCCTCCAGCAAGCCAGCCCCGAGGGGCTGCCATGACATTTCCATCACTTTCACAAGAGCAGCAGCAGCAGCGGCGGCGGCAGCGGCCAACCGGAAACCAGACAGAGCCGAGTCTCTTCCTGAAGAACGATGGTACAAAGGCTGTTAACCCTCCTGAGCCTCGGACTAGGAGACTGAGGAGCACGTGGGAGCAGATGAGAATCCAGGCCAGCCAAGTCATGGCGTGGTGGCCTTTGCGGGGCAGTCTCTGATATACTTCTTGTGCCTGGGGGGAATCTTCCCCAGGAGGGACCTGCCTGATCTCAAGCGCCTGCCAATACAGACCAGTCCCAGGGAATGAATCTCTGTGCATGGCCCTCTGTGAACCTTCAGCTGCCAGTTCTGGAAGAAAAGCTCCAATCAGTGGGATCCATGTTGCTTCTGCAGAGCAAGCTGCCGGGCACAGGAGAGCGGAAGAAGCACCTGCAGCCTCTCTCCTGGCTTGGAAACACAATCCGTGGGACGGCTCCTTTTCTCTCATTCAAGGAGAGACTGGAGGTGCC